CCACGGTTACGGAGCACCGGAAGCAGCAATTCCAAATAAGCCTGCTTACGGTTGTTTACAATCCTGAGGGGCGTGACCAACTGCGGAGGTATAGTAAGTGGAGGTGATTAAGTGATCGTTAGTCCAATAATGTCTTACAGAGGGGAATCAGAAGGAATATCTCCAGAACAGCAACATGGAAAAAAGGACAAAGATGAAAGCAAAGTCTGGTTGACTTCCTTGCTTCTCTTTCTGGTGTGAAACACCCAAGGAGCCCTGTTTACTGTCTCAGGTGGAAAGTCCTCAGTTACTTCTTTGCTGCCTACATTGTGACAGCTGTCTGTCCGGCATCTGTGCATCCTTCCTGGCGCCGGTCGGCACACACACAAAGGGCCTCTCCCACTTTTCGGATCCCACTTGGGAAGCAGACTGGGAAACTAGGTTTAATGGGGGCTAGTCCAGAACTTGCTTCCAGCAGAGAAAGAACTCACAAGAGCTGCCAGGGTCTAGCTGTCTTTACAGAACCATTTTAAATGGAAATAACGGGAGTTTATAGAAAGTGGGAGAATGTCTCTGCTAGTTACGGGACAGGGTAGGATGCACGTACCTGGAAAGAGAGAGGACTCTAATTCTCAGGGAAGAGGTGGTCCACGGCGAAGAGAGCACAAGCGCATGTCCGGCACCTAGTCCATGGGCCATAATTACGGAGAATGAATGAAAGGAGCCTGACTGGCTCATGCAGGGGAAACGCGACCTGCCCTTCTACTTCTTACAATCAGAGTAATCCTTAGGAGCAGCGTGAAAGGCCAGTAAGAAATGCTGATGCTACTAGAATCCCTCAGGGTTGCCACATGAAGACTAAATATCTCTGCACAGTAAGGATATAAAGGAAGGATGACCTCTGAGGAGAGGCTGGGCTACGATGATGTGGTCCTTAAATATCTGGGGAACAAAACTGGGAGATGACTTAAGAGTATCTCTATCCTTTGGTTTCTACTGACTCAGGAGCTCACATCCTTGAACTTCTGAGTTTGCCCTCAGGAGTTAGAGACCTGAGGTCAGGTCTGGCCAGGTGCCCTTAGACAAGGCAGCCAGCTTTCCTGCACCTTTGCTTCTCTACCCCAAGAGAACCAGAAGAAAACCTTTTCTCAGAGACTTCTTTAAAAAATGCAAAATCTTACTGTGCTTACAGTGGTATCATTAGTGTCACGGCTGACTGAAGCGAGACCCACTTTAAAGACTGGACAGCAGGAGGCAGGGACCAGTGTTGAGAGGACGATTTCAGTTTGAGTGCTGCCCTTACGGGTGTGCGTGTCTGGCGCCTGGAAAGGTGGCTGTAGGCTTTCTCATCCACGGAGAATGATGCTGAGATCGACGTGCATCCTGGTGGATGGTCTTTGAGTCCAAGTATGGAGTGGAAAGGGACTTGATGTGAAGGATATTGTAGTTCTTGAGGGTAACGTCTCAAGATCCTCATCAGATTTCCGCTTTCCCTTCACGGATCATTTGCATGAACCATGTGAGGTGATACCACGATTTTGGTGGCACAGACCCCTGGACTGAGGTGTTCGACTCCAGGGGACAAACTTCATAGATTCATTTAGTCCACAAATAATTAAGAGCCAACTCCACGCGGGGCTGGTCTAGATCTTCTGATTAACAATAATACAAGCATTTATGACGTGCCAGCATCCTTCTAAGAGCTTCACATATATTAACCTACTTTATCCTCACCGTAACCCACGAAGTTGGGCTTGTTCCCACCTGTGTTTTACGTTAGGCACTGAGAGGTTAAATACCTGGTTCAAGGTCACACTGCGACCAGGAGTCAGGACTGGAACACAGGCAGGCGGGCCCCACAGCCCATGCTCCTGCCTCCTGCGCGGTGGTGACCATGACAGCTGAGACCCCTGTCCTCGTGGAAGAGGAGAAAACAGGGCAACAAGTGATGCTATTTCTGGTGCTGATAAGTGCTGTGAGGAACTCTGAAGCAGGGTAAGGGGGTAGGGGTAAGGGGGCAGGGGGCAGAACCACGTGTGGTCAGGGAAGCCCTCTGTGATGGCGAGCAACCTTAGTAAAACGCCTGAGTGAAAAGGGGGTCCAGCTCTGCGAAGGCCTGGAGAGACTATTCCAGGCGAGGGGACAAAGGCTCCCAGAGGGTTACAGGCTGGGGGTAGGGGTGCCAGGGGCAGCAAGGGGTCATGGAATGGCGCGGGTGAGGGAGACAGGCCGTGGAGGGTCTCTGCCGACTTCACGAGGACTGCAGGCTCGTCGTCGGGGATGAAGCCCCTGGCGGGTTTTGAGCAGGTGGTAACCTGCTCTGATTTTTCACCCTGGCAGCCTGTGGAGAAGAGACCACTGGGGCAGACAGGGAGGCGAGTTAGAAGCTGTCACAGTGGCCAGTGTGAAGAAAATACAGATGCTATTTTAGGCCTTTAGGCCAAGGCCAGCTTCGCCAGCTCAGAGCGAGGGGGCTCGGGGAATCGCCTGCATCTCATAAGCTAACTCGGGTCAACGTGAAGCTCGGGTTCAGGAGCAATCTTGACGTGAAAGGGAAGCACCTGCTGCTCTGCTAGTTAACACAGACGCCCTGGGCCCGGAAGCGGGCCGCGCAGGCTCTGCCCCCCATCCAGGAAGGTGCACCTGGCAGGCTGTCCCGGGGAGGGCCCGACCCGTGGCCCCAGAGCTTGAGTCTGTTTTGTGTGGATCCACTGGGAATGTCTGGTGAGCGCCAGTCTATCCTTTCTTTTTTTTCTTCTTTTCTAAAAGCATTTCATACCAAGTGACACAGACAATTGCATAACTAAAGAAATGGTGGCACGGATTGCTAACAGGTCCCTTTTCTAAGCTCTTTCTACTCCGAGCAACTTTTCAGTAAAAGATAAAACCAGCCTGTTTCGGAGGTGCTTGCCAACTTCTGCATGGGGAAGTGCCAAAGAACTGAATCTTCCTGAGTTTATGCAAAATAAGGACGCAGGCTGCTTGTTTTTCCAAGTTCCAGTGCTAAAGCATCCCATAAAATTCAACCACTGATGCATGGAAAATGCCATTGTTCTAGAGTTTTTAAAATGGCAACCCCTTTCTCTGCCTCTATTAACACACATGCAAACGTGCAGACCAGCTTCTTCTTCTGACTATCCTATTATCTTTTCATGCTCTTAGTTAAAGATCATTTCCTAGGCTTGTCTGAATGTGGCCAAGTTATCCTATTGCTAGATAACTGTAGAGCTCAGGGAGAGTTGTCTGAATCTGAAATGTTATTCTAGAAGGGATTGTTCCATTATGTAGGCAACATAACAAGACTATTAATTTTGACATAAAATGAAAACTAGTTTTTAATACTGCTTCTTTATCGAACTGTTTATAGAGTCAAGCATGCAGAAGGGTCAGAGATATAAACATATATCCCGATACACGTCATATATCGTGATAAGACATAATGTCAGCCAAGCTGGCATCTCCTGACAATGCTAAAGAAGCCCTTTCCAACACACTCACAGATCTTAGGAAAATGAAAGGGGTTTCCCTCCACCCCTAAACAAATTCACTGCAAGGAAGAGAGAAAAACGAAGGGAAGCAGAAATGGAGCTTATGGCGTGACTGCTGCTAAATCAGAGAAAAAGAGTGAAAAGGATGATTTTTTAGAGGGTGAGAAAACCAGTCGCCAGCAGGCTGCTTTCGCCGTCGGCTCCCTGGTTAAATTTTGCAGAGAGAAGGACAAGTCACACCACGCAGGAGGCCAGGCTGCTGCAGGTGCTCCATCCACCTCACGAGAAAGAGCAAAGCAAGCACAAGCCAAGGCAGTCGCCAGCACTTCTACAGGAGGAAAATAAAACCCCCGCCGGGTCCTTCTGGGGTCAGTACCTAAGCAGCTGTGCTTCACACCATCCGCACCTGCAGATACACCTTCCACATGCAACAAAATTTAGGTTCATAGCAGTGTCTTCCAGAAAAGGGCAACATTATCTTGAATTATGACTTCAAAGTACTAGGAAAGGACTCCCCTGGTGGCACAGTGGTCAAGAACCCACCTGCCAATGCAGGGGACACGGGTTCGAGCCCTGGTCCGGGAAGATCCCACACACCGCGGAGTCACAACTACTGAGCTTGCGTGCCACAACTATTGAAGCCCATGAGCCTAGAGCCCACGCTCTGCAACAAGAGAAGCCACCGCAAGGAGAAGCCCGCGCACCGCAACGAAGAGTAGCTGCTGCTCGCTTCAACCAGAGAAAGCCTGCGCGCAGCAACGAAGACCCAACGCAGCCAAAAATAAATAAATAAGTTTATATATATATATATATATATATATATAAACTAGGAAAAGTAGATTACATTTATACTCTGTGACACATGTCCACATATCAATGTGTAATATATCTAACGAAGAGACAAAATTTAAAGAAGGTTTCCTATACTTACAGCATCAACGTCTAGTAAACTATGGGAACTCAGCTTCCCAGAAGGATGCATTCCCTGGAAATTCTGCATAGCTGATATTTATGTACTCCTTGATTCAATAATATGACAGGTCATCTTTCTTTGTGCACATGAATAGAAGGAAGAGAGTTTCGGGCTTCCCTCGTGGCGCAGTGGTTAAGAATCCGCCTGCCAGTGCAGGGGACACGGGTTTGAGCCCTGGTCCGGGAAGATCCCACATGCTGCGAAGCAACTAAGCCCACGCACCACAACTACTGAGCCTGCGCTCTAGAGCCCGCGAGCCACAACTACTGAGCCCGAGTGTCACAACCACTGAAGCCCAGGCGCCTAGAGCCTGTGCTCCACAACAAGAGAAGCCACCGCGATGATAAGCCCGCGCACCACAACCAAGAATAGCCCCTTTCTCATCACAACTAGAGAAAGCCCGCGCACAGCAACGAAGACCCAACACAGCCAAAAATAAAAACAAAAAAGAGGAAGAGAGTTTCATGATCCCGTGGTGTGAATCACAAACACCAATCAAGGGGGACACGTCAAAGCTTAAAGCTCTTAACGAAAAACCGTACATCACTGAACCATCTTACCTGTCGACGGATTATTCCAAGGTCTCTTTTGGCTTTATTCATTAGGGCTTGGATTTGTACAGGATCCTTTACATTCTTATTTTCTCTGAAGGCATCTCTTATCCTCCTGATGGCGTAACTTCTAAACGAATTCAGGGAAAAAAGGAAAAGGTGTCAGTGTGTCTGAAACGATGCTTTTAAAAATGAATTCAAAAGTGGTTCCTTAGGAATTAGCTGTCTGCTAGGCCCCGGTGGATAATCACCTCTGCTCTCTGCTCTTGGAACAGGCCCATCCATTACTATCCTGGGATGACTGAGCAAAAAGATTTGGGGAGATGAATCTACTCCAAACGAGTCAGGTGTGAATGGTAAAGTGCTACTGAAACACTCCTTAGATTATTGGCTTTTTACGGTTATTCACAACTGGCCTCCCTCCATTAACATGGATAACTGAACCTTCAATGTGCAGAGACAACACGACAATTGACAGGTCACGATGCACTGCATGTGTGTGTACCAAGACGGTGACCGATGCCACGCTTGGGTCAGCTTTCCGGTCTCATCCCACCTTCTCTTGTGAAACAGAACAGGCAAGGATCCATACTGTGACCCTACCACAGTTGAGAGTGGAGATGACACCAAAATGCTCTTCTCCATCTCTAAAGGGCACACACGTGCACACACATAAACTCCCCCCAGCCCCGCCCAACATACATCACATGCAGTTCAGGGCAGCGGTTTAAGTGCAAGCCTTGCACATCAGACAGGCTTGGGTTTGAATTCTTTTCCAAGTTCCTTCTGTTTGTGAGAACGTGGGCAACCTTCTTAACATAAGCCCCTGTTTCCTCATCTTACGCCTGTCAAACAGGCCTAATACTGCCTACCTCTCAGGGCTGTTGGGAAGGTTAGGCTTTATAATGTGTGTCTGGAATTTGGTACGAAACCTGTACACAGAAAAACTCAAGAAATAAAAGCTATTCTTTTCTTCTTCCTCTTCTTGTTACACCTTAATGCAATTAGTACCCCCTCTCCTCACGTCAGCCTGTGCTTCACTCTACACCCTTGGGGTCAGACCAGGCTGTCGTGTGGATAATTAGCCACAGTAGACGACTCAAAGGTCGGTAACCTCTGGACTCCCACACTCAGAGTGATGGCCTTAACCCCGATGCCTGCTCAGCCTCACCAGACAGAAACGAGGACCAAGGAGACGCCGCCCAAGTCAGACACACCAGACGCGACTGTCTCTAGTGTTTGGATGATCTCCGGTTGCTCTGCACTTACCTTGAAACACCAGCTAAAGAATCCACGTGAAACCATTAGTTCCATTTAGAAACCAAAGAACGGAAAAAGCAGCAGAGCAATGAGGGAAGGGGAATGCAATTTCCTCGGGAGCTGGGGGATGGATACAACTGAACTGGGAAACCTTACTTTGGAGAGGACTAATTTTGTTTTAGATAAACTTTCCTGAAGTAAAAGAAAATTAAACATTCAAATATCAAGTCCATTTGCATTTAAAAGCAAGAGAAAATGAAATCTTGTAACGTTAAGAACCACAGGGAGAAAAGTGGACCGTTCAGGAGCCTGCACTTCAGGGTGCGAGCTGCTGCGGAGTCTTTCATCTTAGCCCCATGGGAGCCTTCTGGAGTGCTTGCCGTGGAGCTTCTGGGCGCTCGGCATGTATCTCAGGGTCACGAGGATTGGAAATGGATATACATACATAGATTTATATAGATTTTCCTCATGTACAGCTGCTAATCTAACAAGACTGCAGGCAGCAGCTGGATGGCTAAAGCAATCTCTGGCACCTTTCGCGCACAACATACTGGTTATTTGTGTCACACAACATCACTGTTCTCCCTCACACCCACACGCTCCTCCAAAACAGTTTCTTTCTGGTGGTGACGGGAATAGAGAAGGAACAAAATAGTTTAATTCTAATATTTCGTTCCATATGCAGACTTGGTTTTACAACAGGAATTTACCTCAGGGAATCATCCAGTTTTTTAATTCTTCTTTTCGGAAAAATACCATGGGCAATAGTAGTCATTACTAAATTCATTCTTCTAAAAGCCAGCAACTAGCCAGAATAGCTAGGAGCAAAGGAGTATGGCTCGGAACGCAACGACCCAAGTTCTTCTAAAGTTTAAGGAAATTAGAAAATAGCTGAAGACACTCAACGATTTGTATCATTTGAGCTCAAGGTCAGCGTTCTAAGCGTGCCTTTGTGTATTCTAGTCTCCCCAAAGTCTATACCTAAAGGAACGAAGCTCTTGATCTTCCAATTAAATGTGTCTGAAGCAAAATCAAAAGCTGTCATTCCAATGCTGGCTGCACCTGTGGAACGAGTGACACGGAAAGGTCCCCTCCCCCCTTTCTTGCTCCCCGCCCCCACGTCTAGAGCACAGGTACTTCCCTTTGCCCCAAGAGAAGACACTGCGCTGGTTCTGGACCATAAAACCACTACTGCATGAACAGTTTTTACTCATATGATTCTTATTTCAAATGGTCATCATTTTGTGAAGGCAATCACAAATCGGGCTGAGTCTTCCCGTTTTCTAGGAAGGGGCTAACCACCAATTATTTCAATCCTGCCCCGCCTTGGTATGTATCATTTGCGTTTTTTTCACTGCTGCCAAGGGAAACCATTTATCCTCGAACACGTTCTTGCCATCAGTCCCCTGACTGTATCACTAAGCAAGAACATTTCGAAGAAAACCGTGAGATGCTGCCAAGGAGATGGCAGCCAACAGCTGCTGCACAACGGCCTGCATTGGGGCGACCCTAGCGGGAGCCGGACACTGTCTGAAATAAGACAAAAAATTAACACGTAAAGGGCAACAGAATGGCAACGGCTACCATGAGAAAGTAGACGGCATCCACAGAAACGGCAGGTGGTTCTGCTAACACGTCACTGCTCTGCCTCTACCCTCCGGAAACTCTGCAGTTTCTTAGCGCTACTTTGTGCAGCAGATTCCCACGAGTCTCTTCTTCTCGACCCCCTCTCCCTGCTCCGTGCCAACAGACCTCCAGCGTACACAGGTGCTACTGGCTATCCTTTCCCCACTGCAAGGATCAAACTCCTTTGTGAGATTCTTCCAGCCACTCCAATGTCCCTGGCGCAGGGCAATACGGCCGGCAGGAACGACAGCTCTACAGTGCCTGAGGTCCTGCTTCACCTCTTTCCAGAACCACTGTCAGCCAAATGCAGGCCATAATAATCACAGCCGCCCAGCACCTGGAGGCTCACGTTGGCTTCAGCGGGCAAGAGGTGTCATCTGGCAACCAGCTGATGTAATATCCTCAATTCTGTCATCCTTCGTCACCACCCCACATGCTGGCTTCTCTGCTTATCCATCCTGTAAAAACACCTGTGCCTTCTCCCCTTCCCACAGCCCCAAGCCAAGTATTCCAGTAACAAAACGACTCAACCCTTTCTCTTGGCCTCTTTGGGGCAAACTCCTGCACCTGCCTGGAAGGACGTCCTCCCTCCACCGGCCTTAATTCGGAGGTGCCCTGCTCCTGAAGACATGCTTCCCTCGCAGCCACTAGGGGGAAGCTGCGTCATCCTGCCTCCAGACTCCACGGGGCTGAGAGGAGAGTGCTGCTACGCCCTCGGACCCTACTGCTGCTTCGGATCATCTGTTCACCCTTACACACCTTTGAGGCCATACTGCCTGATGAAACCATGATGTGTGCTTCCGTGACACTGCTGTCTGCTCACTTTTTGAGGTCAAGTCTTAAGATTCATCAAGCCTTAATATCTAAAGGCCACTCAGTGAGTACATAGGCCACCAATGTTAGGTAACAAAAATTTTCATAATACGTAGTAAAGTAAGATCTTTAAAGTCAACTTTTACAGTGAGACAGATGATAGTGTTTGCAAACCGTTACTGAGGTATCTATCTTTGCTCTGCGGATGGAGAGTTCCGCAGCTGGCTAGTCTCTCCTCTTAGCCTTTAGGTCTACTAGCTGTTTCTTCCTAGTCTTCCGTGTGGGCTTATCTGACTCTGCTACCTCTTGTATGTTGTATTCTCTAGGGCTCCATATTGGACCTCATTTTAATAACATGTCTTCCAGTAACGGCGTCTATGCCCAAGGTTTCAACTACCATATATGTATATATGCCATTGGTTCTGGACCATAAAACCAATCCATAGAACCTAACTGCCTTTTGGACTTGCCAACAAAAGGCGCCCACTATGCCCACTACAAATTCTCCCACTGAACACTTTGAAAACTGAAGTTATCATCTTCTTTTCCCTTTTCCCCAATGGCCAGTATTTCATTCCTAGGTAGGAGGATCCTCAGACAGCCAACTGTCCAAGTCAGGCATTTGGGTATTCATCCTAAGTTCCTTCCTTTCCCATAATTCCTTACATTTAGACAATCACAAAATCTTACTGTTTCAACTTACAGTCTTCTGCATCATCTTCCACTTCTCCAAACCCTCAGCTCTAATCTTGGTTCAGGCTCTTACCTCAGATTAATGCAAGAGTCTTGGGATTATGGTGTATGTATGCTGTGTATAATAAAATGCCTAGTGACAGCTTTAGAGGAGAAGCTCAAGGATCATCTGAAGGTCATAAGCACTCTGGGTAAGGAACAGAGCAGAAAGCTTCCTTCTTATGAACGTGTAAGTTCCCACTGGAATGGTAGCCCCACACAGGATGGACTTTTATCTTCCTTGTGCCTGGCTCAGAGAGAGAGCTTAATAAATATTTACTAAATATACAAACTTATCCAAATATCATATCAAAGAGACCTTCAAGAAAAATACTAATAATCAGTAAGGAAATCACAACAAAGAGTAAGAAACTGATAAAGAAATAGAATGGAAAGGGTTGTAGCACAAAGACTGAATTAACCTCTGAAAGGGAATGATTACAAAATTCACCATGAGAATCCAATGAAGAAGTCTAGAAGGCCTATCATGTAAGCACTGTGGGAGGTGGAGATCAACAAGGTTACTGGCCTCAGGGGCGGCTGGAGGATGAAATCCACACCCAAATCATGAAAGAGGAAATAAGAGCCAGGCAAAGGGAACGCAGAAGGTCTGAGGAGGCTTTCTGGGGCAATGGAACAGTTCTTGACTGTATATTGGTCAAAAGGTTGAGCCTCACACTTAAAGTGGATGCTTTATTG